GGGAAAGAGGAAAAAATCTTCAAAAGAAAAATCAAAGTAGTCCTTGCACACATTCTGTTCAGCTCCACATACAGTATCAGAAGTATAACAAAATAGGTGCAGATTTTTTAGAAATGCATGACATCTTTCTATAGCAGTTCCTATGGACCTGAAAGCACTGTTCTCTGTACAGAACAAACAATTCAGTATTTCCAGCTCTCTTTGAGTCAGACAAACATGGCTGGCAGAAAAAGGTAGCTGTTGATGAGTTTTTTACAAAGCTAGTCTTCCAGAAGAGGTCAGATAGTAGATTCTGCTGGCTGGTGGACAGTGTATTTCCATGGCAAGAGCTTTTTAGGCCTCAGGTATCTCTTCAGTATGGTGAAAACTTATGTCAGTTTACTGCTGTCCTCCTCTGGGCATGGCATTTGCTGCAGGTTGATTCTTGAAGCACCAATGACTCCATGCTGAACCTTCATTTCCCATTCCTTACACCTTCATTCCTCAGCAAATAAAGCAAGTATATCTGTAGAAGTCTCTTAGGGCCCCACAGTGTCCCTAAACAGAGAGATCTGTCTGGAGGAGTGCTCTTGTCAGACTGTTCTATATTAATAAAACTTACCCTATCATTTCTAACAAGAAATTCTGGATTTGCTATAGCGCCTTTAAAGGATAGTTGCTCAGGCTGCTCCTGCTATACACTGAATTATTTGGCTCATCTAATGGACTGCCAAAGTGAATATTTTACAAAGGCATCCTGCACACAAAGGCATCCTCCTTAGAGATGACTCAAAGCCTGAAAGATTATCCATTTGTACATTAATGAAAAGTTGGACAAATTGCTGCCTGGATGTTTCTCGGGTCTAAATATGTGCACATACAAAAATGCTTCTATACAAATTCTGTAATCTTTTTGATCTAATGCCTGCAGTATAAGGAAGAAATATCATAAAGAAGCATTTTGTATCTTTCTTTCTTTGCCCGCAGGATATGCATGTCTTGCTCTTGTGAGAACAAAACCCAAAGTCTATATTTTACAGTTTAAATGCACTGTATGATTCACTGTCATCGTCCCAAGCAGGTGCTTACCCAGTGCTGCACAGGTGAATAATTCCCTGTTAAAGTGAGTGGTTTGTTTCTTCTTTAAATTGCTTGTATTGATAAACTTCAGTCTAACTTGATTATTTCCCTTATTGTCATAAGGCACTGGTTCTCATGGGGGACTTCAACTACCCTGACATCAACTGGAAGGACAACACAGCCAGGCGCAGTCCTGGAGCTTCCTGCAGTGTGCTGATGATAACTTTTTGACGCAGGTTGTGGAGGAGCCGACGAGGAGAGGTGCATTACTGGACCTCGTGCTAACAAATAGAGAGGCACTTGCAGGAGATGTGAAGGTGGGGGGTAGCCTTGGCTGCAGTGACCATGAGTTGATGGAGTTCAGGATCCAACGAGGAGGAAGCAGGGCTGTAAGTAGCCTTGCTACAATGGACCTGAGGAGGGCCAACTTTAGCCTTTTCAGAGACCTCCTCAGAAGAATCCCATGGGCTAGAGCTCTAGAAGGAAGGGGGGCCCAAGAGAGCTGGTTAGTTTTCAGGCGGCGCTTCCTCCTGCATGGATGAGCAAGGAGCTTGTGGCAATACTCAAGCAGAGGGAGGTGGTATACAGAATGTGGAAAAAAGGACAGGCCCCCTGGGAGAAATACAGGAACGTAGTCAGGGAATGCAGAGATGCGACAAGGAAAGCTAAGGCACGTTTGGAATGCAATCTGGCAAGGGATGTTAAAAATAACAAGGAAAGCTTCTTCAAATATATTAACAGCAAAAGGAAGATCAGGGAAAACGTGGATCTGCTGGTGAACGGGGTGGGTAGCCTGGTTATGAAAAACACAGAAAAAGCGGTTGCTGAATGCCTTCCTTGCTTCGGTGTTTACCAAGGACAGCCCTTTAGAGCCCCAGGCCCTAGGGACAAGAGAAGAAGCCTGGAGAGAGGAAGACTCGCCCT